AAGGCTAGCCTTTTCTTTGACCGATCGTCCCAGTGCATTTATTTATATACTCGCACATTCGTTGCTATATAGCGCTCTAATCAAAGTAGATTGTTTCCATATTTACTAGATGTTCGTAGTTTCTGATTTCCTGAATGGAACCCGTTCGATTATCGTTGCTGATTACTTGTCGTCACTTGTTTATAAATAGTTGTTTAATATTTTTATTAATTTTATTGCTATCTCTTCGTAAAAATTAGCTGTTTTTGGTTGATACTTTCAAATATAACCTCCAAGAGACATCTTCCAAGTCTGCTGTATAGACCAATAAAAAGCAAATTTCGTGAGAGATCTAACATAAATCGACAATAGCCAACAATTTCAATTGGCGATCTTGAATAACAAAGATGGAGAAAAGCTTCAGCTTTCAGAGAGAACAGGGCATTTTGAGCTTTTTAATGTTCTTACCGAAAAAGATAAAGCAACACAACCATCAGTATTGAAAAATAGCTCTCTGTTTTGCATAAGGTAGCAATATACATTTCAAATTAACAATTTTGCTAATTTTTCGAAGCATATATGAATCTAATTATAAATATTATGTTGATTGGGCAATGTAAACATCGCCCACCAGCGATATCTCTAATTTGTAAATGTTATTTGAACAATGGAAACAGAGCACTAAACTTGTGTACACATGTATACCAAGAGAATGAGTTAAACGTGATTGGTTAGTATATAGGTGTGGTTGTATTGTGAATGGGATAATGACCTCATGTTGTATGAATTCCACTCAGTATCATTTACGTAACTGCTCGATGGATTCGGTAACATCACTAGCGCTTATAGCCAAGTCGGTACTTGAAATGGACAAATTACTACATGTACGAGTGTTTTAGATTGAATGTGTTTCCATGACTGCACTCACCTTCGAATATGATTCCCCCAATCTAAATATGATTTCACCTATTCAAATATGATTCCCCCAATCCAAATATGATTTCACCTATTCAAATATGATTTCACCAATTCAAATATGATTTCACCAATTCAAATATGATTTCACCAAGTCAAATATGATTTCGCCAATTCAAATATGATTCCCCCAATCCAAATATGATTTCATCTATTCAAATATGATTTCACCAATTCAAATATGATTTCGCCAATTCAAATATGATTTCACCAATTCAAATATGATTTTGCCAATTCAAATGTGATGTTACCAATGCAAATATGATATCGCCAATTCAAATATGATGTCACCATTTCAAATATGATTTCGCCAATTCAAATATGATTCCCCAATCCAAATATGATTTCACCTATTCAAATATAATTTCACCAATTCAAATATGATTTCGCCAATTCAAATATGATTTCACCAATTCAAATATGATTTTGCCAATTCAAATGTGATGTTACCAATGCAAACATGATATCGCCAATTCAAATATGATGTCACCAATCCAAAAACGTTCATCCTTTCAAGTATGATCTCACCAATGCAAATATAACGTCACCACTATTGAACACTTTGGTACTTTTGTTGAGTATAGCAATGTAGTAAAAGTCTTTTCATAAGCCGTACATTGTTTAGTCATGTTTACATACCAGCTGGTAGCAGTCTCTCCAGTTCTTCAGACCAATATATTCCATCTTTGACTACAGTGAGATTATTTATAACCACGCTTCGTCCCTTGTCGGTATTCACACTGGTTTCTTTTCCTATCTGGTTGTCACATGACCTTGGATCAAATATTAAGTCCAAGGTACTGTCAACTGACCATGCCGCTTCGCTGCCAGCTTGAACGGGTAGTAGTGTTTCATAGGCTTTGACTATTTGCGTCGATTCATCATCTATGACGAACGGTGTCGTGATGGCGGACTGTGTTATTCCTACTGTAAAGTCGAATGTCTTCCGTGGACGCAATATTTGGCGATGCAAACACCGTGATAGAACGATAAACAGTGTTGTTGTTATTGTTAAAATTACAAAAGTTCTAAATAGGGTTATACGCCGTAGCACTGGTAGTAACATGTACCTCATAATGGCAGGAAGCAACTAGTTTTTAAGTTCATGGACCATACATACATTCCCAACCCCCTCTAGCACATATACCTACGTCTCGACACTGTGTAGCCATTCATCGTGCTGGTGATGTGGACATAACTACAGCACGGCGTTATTGTGTCATTGGCATAACATGTAGTCACGGTCCTAGCGGAACACACAATGCAAATGTTTAAAGGTCGTTGGTATTTATGTTGAGTATAACAATAGAAGTAAAAGTAAGTCTTTTCATAACCCTTGCTTCGTTACTCATGTTCACATACCTGCTGGTAGCCGTCATTTCACTTCTTCAGATCAATATAACCAATCTTTTACTACAGTAAGTTTATCGACCTCGTCCTGATTTTGATTTAAATAATTTTTTTCTAACTGGTTGCCACATGACCTTGAATCGAATACCAACAGTACCAAATTAAAATGAAAATTTGAAATATGCACAAAAATATGTTTTTTTTTGTTGTCAAAAGAGATTTGAAAAAAAGTTACTTCTAAACCGTGCCTCTGTTTCCTGTCAAAACTGGTTTACGGGTACATCTGTTTACTATGAAGAAAGTGCTGTCTTGAAAAGTGTCTACCAGTTGTCAATTTTGCTGGGCAGCAGCTCAAATTTCACTACTTCAAGTTTATGCATAAACACCCAGGCTAGTTGTCTGTACGATTGTTGTGACACCATTCAACCAAAAACAATGCCTCGACGGCGTTTTGAAGTTAAACACATTGTCAATCATTTGTGAAAATTTCAAAAGAAAAGGCCAAAGCGTCTGGGAGCTTGCTTTTTTTTGTTCTGGAACGTGCACTAACAAGAAGCTGAGATAATTGATAATTTGCATATTTTATAGTTAAGTAAAAATATATGCTGATTTACATCGCCATTGGATTTAACAGAGTTCTACTAATGATTTTAATATGATGAATTTGTTTTTGCGTATCTGTTGATCGACTTAATTAGCTGATTACTAGTGAATTTCTGTGTTATGTCTGTCATCGTTTAGGCAGGCGAGGTCCTGGACGGAACTTGGCTCAGTGATTTGGAACTAATTACGAGATAACCGTCGCTATTCGGACTACTATTTCTGACAGTTCGTATTCGTAGTTATTAATGTAGTGAACGATTAATCAAAAGATATGATGTATTCAGTACTTAGTGTGATTGGCTTTATGATTGAAGGTTACGCCTTAGAGTCTTTTTACTGCATTGTAATTGGTTAAGGTTTTGAAAATGAATAAAGAGAGTTTGAGTTGGTCTTGGCGAGTACACAACAGAGGCAGTCTAAGAGTCCAGTCCTGGAGAGTCTTGGGGCGAGTCCTGGTCAGTCTTGGACAGAGTCTTGGGTCAGCCTTGCGATAGTCTTGGGGACTTTTCCCAAGGGCGCTGTGTCTTATAGAGTGCTCAAAAGACCGACTAAGACGAGAGTTGAAGAAACGTATTTCGTAGTGTGTGTCTATTTGACTGTAAAAGTTTAAGTGACTTTCCCGATCCCATACCTCAAGGGGACGCGATAGAGAGACGAGACGAGATTCCCCCCTGACACGTGTGGAGAAACCCAGAGGAAAAGATTTTACCCCTGATATTAATTTCAAATTTTCACAGAATACAGATGTTCATACAATGCCATAAAAAATAACAAAAAGGTGAAATTTGTCAAAATTTGCAAAATAAACTGCATCTCTAAAAAGATCAATGGTCGTACCCGTGGTAGTTGGAGCACTCGATCTTGTCAACAACAACACCCTTAAACATATTGATAAATTCAGGAAACCCAAGTCTGCAAGAGATACAGAAAATTGTTCTTAATAGCGCTGCACACCTGCTGAGAAAAGCGTTATCAATTTAGACACCCTATTACTGGGAAAGTACTCTTTCTTTGTTCCTAACAGTATTCTCAACATTACCCATTCACCGTGAAGGTTGTTCTCACATATCTGATGTGAGGAGTGAAGCACAAAGTTCGCCTCATTATTTTAAAAATGATACATTTTTAAGCAGCAGCACGCTGGATTCGAATCAACTATAAACTAGATGGTTTCTAGTTGAAGCAGCGTGTAGTTTAGGATGATATGTATATGGATTATGTACGATTTCATTGGTTCTTTTCTGCAAAAAGAGTTACGTATACGTTACGTATACTGTAACAACACACAACCCGCGATGGGACTGCAGTAATTAAGCGGTAGTTATTGGCCTGTTATAGTGCTAAAACTAGAACCCCGACCCATATCAGAAAACCGAAATAATGTTGTTATGACTATCAATCATCGAAGTGACAAGTGCAGTGTTTTTTTTATCTTTTTCAAATCTGGCTAGTATTTATTTTGCTTATATATATTACTACACTTAGTCTATTATTTGGGAAGTTTTATACAATTCATGCTATAATATTTTATAAGGAACATTGAGATTAAAACAGTACATGTTACTTTTTTAATGTAATTATGATGTTCCCACTTAAATTTCATCCAGTATTCCCCGAGCAAAATGTTCAGATATAATATTACATTGTTTCGGGACTACTACACTCTACTTTTCCATGCAAAGAAAATATACTGCATTTGCATCCATCTATTACTTTATCCCATGTGTTAATATTGTTTACCGTTAAACAGTTATATATATTATAACTATGTGATTCGTAATGTGCGAATTTCCAAATTATATACACTTTTATGATATTCGAACGTTCATGATGTAATAGGCCTTGGGGTTTAAATGAGAACATATATTTATCAAAAATAATAAGCCGATTAGAGAAATCTGTAAAGTTATTAATAACTGCTTCAAACAAATGGAGAAAAAAACTAAAATTAACTAATTCTCTCTCAATAGAGCTTTCGTTTTTTATGTATAGTATAAGAAAGTATGGTATAAGAAAGAACGAAAATTGATGTTTATAGAATGTAACATAATAAATAAACAGGATAGAATAAACAATTTTATAAACATATTTTATAAACATATAACTGCAACAGCAGTTTTCCACTAGTTAAATACCTAAAACAAAAAACATACAATTAATAACGTTTTTGTTTGTTTCGTAGTTTTTTCTTTATAGTATTGTTATTGTAATGTTTTCTTCATTGTTGTATTTTTCTTACCATACATCACCCACAGATGGTAATTGTTGAGTAATAAAGTAATTATTATTATTATTATTATTATTATTATATACAAAATCCCAAATGAAGATCCGAGTTCAATAAAGAATATTATTATTATAAGATTTCATAATTTAAACATGAAATTAAATACATTATTCTACAAATCTTTCACATTAGAATGTATCTAACACTTATCGTGGATCCACGTGTGTTGTTGTTTAATTGTTATTTTTCATTCGTGTTTAGTTTGTATCGATAGACAATGTCTTTGTGCCAGACGACAGTTTCGGACATTCAAAGTCGCTGTTGTCTCGCCTGACAATTTTTCTTTTTTGTAAGTGCAAATGCTGACACAGTGCATTTTGCCACAGAAGTCATTTCCTGTTTGGGACTACATGACAGGGCTGTGTGGCCATCTCCCTATCAAATCCCTAACGCATTCGTTAGTGAATGAACCTCGGCCAGTGGAATTGGCCTTCCCATTGAGTCTGTGGCACACTCACCCAAGGAAGAGGTCGACTCTTTTGATGTTCAGCCTAAGGTAGGATTTGAACTTGGGTCTACCCATGGAGCTCTTTTTTTTTTAGCTCCATGGTCTACCGATCATGAGTCTGATGCGACAACCACTATTCTACCAATGACCGGCCAATGATTTGCTGTATTAGTTCGTTTTCGTTTCATTAGATTCCAAGAATTATTCACGGAGATATATTTCCTACAAATCAGGGAGAAAATAACAAACTTTCACACTCAAACGGTCCATTGGGGTAACATTAAGCCAACCGCTGGAAAAATCGACCTCATTCGTCGTTTTTGTGTACACAAAGAGCATAGAACACTTTCCCTGGTATATTTCAAAGCGAAATCGCCATCCAACTGTAAGACCGTCGCTGATTAGCTCCTTAAGTATGAAGATAGCCTCCTACTGTTATATAGATTCGTCTAAAGTGGGCGTGACCGCAAGAGGACGCCAGCGAGATTCGAAAGCCAACCGTTTAGTCAAAACCAAAGCAGTTAGCCAATTCGCTAGCGAGTTTGCAAATTGGCTGCCTCAATACTTCTGAGACTTGCTGTAACCCTATATAAAGTATGTTTCAATGCATGTTTGGAGTGGATTGTCCTCATTGTACATTAATGCCAGACTTCTCTACCGAAATAAACGACGTACTAATTTATATACGTATTACAGTCTACCACAGTCTCTTAATTGTGTTACCATTACACAAACACAGTGCTCGCAGTTGTTTGGACCTGATCGAATGTGTGCGATAGACAGCCACAATACTTTCGCCTAACACCCTTATCCTGGAACTCAATCATTGCGTTATTAAATCCCTGGGCAAATCTAACGCTAGTCGAATGTAAGACGAATCTAGCGCGAATATGAATCCATCGCCAACTTCTTTGAAAACATGTGACTCCTAGGTCAAAGTTTACGCAGTCGTCTCCCGGGACAGTTACCCTGTTCTTTACGTACGCACTGGGACTTAAATCGACTGCAACGCGAATAATGATGATTTCTACTGCTCAGCTCGGGTTCCTGTATTTTTCAGTTCTCGGTGCTCTCGTCGCTGGAATTGCAACTAATAACAGACCGATCATAGGTGCGTACGCCGACTCGGAGGTACATTGTTAGTAATATTGATACCGACGATTCTCTAAGACAGGCCGGAAACGGAAACGAGACAAAAACAAAAGATTTTTCAAGTTAGCGTGGGGGAAATAACGTTGCTAAGTATTATCGTCAGGGAAAGCTATTGTTTAAGCTAGTCTGTGATTGGTTGCTGGCAATGTTTGGGGGATTTTGACCAGTTTGTGACGTAGGCTTGTCTTAGAGAATGATACTAAATTATGCCACCACTACAGTTACGCCCACTAGGACTAGTCATTGCCGATTTCTGTTAGGCGTCTCCCAAAATACACCCATAATGGGAATTCATAGTAGGTTTCTAGATGCATTAATAACAAATGGTAATTTATTTAAACCCAATTTCACGAAGTATATGCTGGGTTGCATAAATTTTGCCAAGGTGCTATAAATAAATGTATTATTATTAAAGGAAATACAGCTAAAAACATACTCCTTGCAAGTATTTTGGTACTGCTGCTGGAAATGTATGTATATGTGTATAAATACACTCTTTAAAGTAACGATATGGACAAGAACATGTAATTTTTAGTATTGGTGTTTGATATAATAATACAACATCATTACTAAAAATATATGTTTTCTTCCATATTGCATCTCTAATGCTATCATGATCAGATATATACATGATCAGATGTAAATTGTTGTGTGTTTAATTTCCTACTACAATCATGGAGAATACATAATCTATTCTCCCTAGTATTACCTTATACCAATCTAATTCAACAGGTAGGAAATGTGCGAAAATTATAAATTTTGTTTTAAATTCAGCATATATTGTAATTACAAAATTTATAACATATATTGCTCCATGAAAGTAACATCCCTACTGAGTAACACCAACCCATGACATCTAATAAACTATTTTAAATGACACTAATCTATAATAACTTTGAAGTCTTTCATTTCACAATAGTAAAAAAAAACAACAACATAAAATGGACAAACAGGCAACTAATAGAATGAATAAATCAAATTTCTGTCTGGAAGCTTATGTTATATGAAGCTATAAATACTACATTACATGTTTGCTTCTCAAAGTTTTGGCTGAGTAATTACAATCATACAATTGGGTGCCATTCATTCAGTCAATCAGTCATTAATTAATTAATTTATTTATTTTGGAGCCGCATCAATTACACATGATCAAATGTTAGAATATAAACAAGACAAAAAATTGCAATGCACCATATTTGCATCTCAAATAGAAGCACATAAAGTCGAAGATTTATCCTGGATCATTAAAATATATCTAATTTTGATCATACACACACCTCTGTCATTTACGGTACATACTGTAAGCACATGTGCATCTAATAGAGCATATACAGTAGTGTGGTTTGGTGAGTATAACTTTGTTTTGAACAATAAAGTATTTGTATATTTATTTCAATTATGTTATTTTTCCAGGTGTATTAGCACAGACATCATATGACCATCTCTTAGACTATGGACCATCGTATGTAGCAGCGTCCTACGTCAAATTCCTGGAATCTGGTGGTGCTAGAGTAGTACCTATAGCTGTCAACCAATCACTTGAGTACTATGAACATTTATTACATTCTATCAATGGGTATGTGTCATTTTTTATCTTGAATAATGATGAGATGACATGTATATATTGTCAGCTGAGATGACATGTATATATTGTTTGCTGAGATGACATTTATATATTATTTGCTGAGATGACATGTATATATTATTTGCTGAGATGACTTGTATAGATTGTTAGCTGAGATGACATATATATATTATTTGCTGAGATGACATATATATATTGTCAGCTGAGATGACTTGTATATATTATTTGCTGAGATGACATGTATAGATTGTTAGCTGAGATGACTTGTATATATTATTTGCTGAGATGACATGTATAGATTGTTAGCTGAGATGACATATATATATTATTTGCTGAGATGACATATATATATTATTTGCTGAGATGACATTTATATATTATTTGCTGAGATGACATGTATATATTATTTGCTGAGATGACATGTATATATTATTTGCTGAGATGACAT